ATGGAACAACTGATTGGTTCAAAATTGGGAAAGGAGTACGGCAAGGCTGTATATTGTCCCCCAGCTTGTTTAACTTATATGCAGAATACATCATGTGGAAGGCTGGACTGGAAGAAACCCAAGCCGGAATTAAGATTGCCGGAAGAAATATCAACAACCTCCGATATGCAGATGATACCACTCTGATGGCAGAAAGTGAGGAGGAATTAAAGAACCTTGTAATGAGAGTGAAAGAGGAGAGTGCAAAAAATGGTCTGAAACTCAACATCAAAAAAACTAAGATCATGGCCACTGGTCCCATCACCTCCTGGGAAATAGAAGGGGAAGATATGGAGGCAGTGTCAAATTTTATCTTCCTGGGCTCCATGATTACTTCAGATGGAGACAGCAGCCCTGAAATTAAAAGGCGCCTTCTTCTTGGGAGGAAAGCGATGACAAATCTTGACAGCATCTTGAAAAGCAGAGACATCACCTTGCCAACAAAAGTCCGAATAGTCAAAGCTATGGTTTTTCCTGTCGTGATGTATGGAAGTGAGAGCTGGACCATAAAGAAAGCTGACTGCCGAAGAATTGATGCCTTTGAATTGTGGTGCTGGAGGAGGCTCTTGAGAATCCCCTGGACTGCAATGAGAACAAACCTATCAGTTCTAAAGGAAATCAACCCTGAATGCTCACTTGAAGGACAGATTCTGAAGCTGAGGCTCCAGTACTTTGGCCATCTCATGAGAAGAAAAGAGTCCTTGGAAAAAACCTTGATGTTAGGAAGGTGTGATGGCAAGAGGAGAAGGGGACGACCGAGGATGAGATGGCTGGACAGTGTCTGCGAAGCAACCAACATGAACCTGACACAACTCCGGGAGGAGAAGACAGAAGGGCCTGGCGTGCTCTGGTCCATGGGGTCACGAAGAGTCGGACACGACTAAACGACTAAACACACACTTGTCTGACACATTTCTGTAAAGCAGAAGTATCTCTTTTAAGGTTTTTATGCCATTGGCCATTGAATATTGCTGCCATGGGGATTGCCCTCACTGGGTCTGGAGTGGTAGTGCAACCCTAGGAAGGTGTCCACTCTTGGTGTGTACAACTGCTACAGATAATGATGATAACTCAGAATCTCAGCACTCCTTACACCACACAAAATGGCGAAACCTAGGCTGTGACCCTCCTTCTTGGCATGTCATCATATTGTTCTCTGAGTATGAGTAGATGTGGATAATTCTTATTTAAGGCTAAGGACTGGGTAGTAACAACACCTGAAATCCAATAGACAGTCATGCGCACGTATCTCTCACTGATTTTAGCAGTTCTGCAGATATTTGACAGCACACCAGATTATATTCAGTCAGTCGTTTGCACTAGTTTCCAGGAAAAGCCTTGTTGGAATTTACCTGAGGTCTTGTGTACACATTCATCTTTAGAGAGCAAAAGACTTATATAAGCTATAACTGGGAAATCTCTTGACAGAACCTTTGAAGTATCATGGCTGGGAATTTGGTCCTGAAGATGAGGAAGAAGAACAAGAAGATTTGCAGGCTGAAGCAGAGGCGTTGGCAGAGGAGGAGGAGGAGGAAGAGGAAGACGAAGATGAGGAGGATGATGAAGAAGAAGAAGAAGTAAGCAGTGGCCTAGATTTAATGTAGATGGTCCATAGATGTGATTTTAAACACATTTTTGAGCACAGAGAGCAAGATACGTTACCTTCTTACTACATTATGTGTTGTACATTTCTAGTTTTGTGCCGAGGGAATAGTAAGCTTTGTAGGTTCTGTCCAACCGTGTATCACTTCACACAAGATAAGGAACTATCTTTAGGATTAGAAGGCCAGAACTATTAACTACTTTTTTGAAAACTAGGGCTTCCCTACTCTATTCACGAAACTCACATGAGATTGGCGTATGTGTGTAGAGGACAGAGAAATACCTGTGTGTGAGCCTGCAACATTGTCCAGACTGGTTCCACATGAAAATCACCTGTATTGTGTTTCCTTCTGCCAAGAAATTAGAGACTGGAAGCAGCAAGTGTGCTCAGAGTGGGTAGGTTCATGCCCTTCCATCAAGAAATACCAATAGGCGAACCTTTTTCCTTCGAGCACCTGCTTTTTAATAATTGACATCATCATATGTTGTCAAGTGAATTCTAAGTTATGTCGACCCTTTTCAGGGTTTTCTGGGTAGAGAAGTGGTTTACCGTCTTCTGCTTGGGGGCATCCTGGGACTGTCCAGCTTGCCCAAGGCCACATAAGTCTGGTTCTTCTGGGATGCATAGTGGGGAACTGAAGCCCCAACCTCTGCCTCTGCAGCCAGATAACTATCTCACTGAATTATCCTGCCCAGCTCTACCTGTGTTTTAACTCCTTGGATTTTGGAGCCTGGCAAAGCTCCAGTTGCCCACCCTGGTTATGGCTCTGTAGAAGGTTGCTGTCCTGAGTAAGGCAAAAAGTCTACTTCTGCTCATCTGAAGAATAGCCTGTCTGAAGTGTCGAGCTGATCGATGACTTGACAATGGATTCATATTTCCATTTCCATGGGAAATTGAAGGTGTGTCTTTTCCCCAAAATATTCACCGAGTGCAGAATTTTAGCCCCTAAATCATTTGATGGTTCCTATGCTATGGAAAACATTGTTTATGTTCCTCTGAATTTAAGAGGGAATGCCTATGGTACTTTTTACCAACATGGTAGTCTGTATTGTTTCGGCCCAGTGGGAGCTGTCTTCGAATAGAAACAGTGTTCTAGGTGCTGATCTCCCCTTCCAAGAATGTAAACAATTGTTTTTAGGGAATCTTGGAACCTCAAGTAGGTGAATATTACTCAGAACCAAACACAAGACAGTCTAGCACATTTAGCCCATTGTTATAAGTGTTCAGAGTTGTCTGTTATCATAGCACATGATTTCACTTAGCCCAACTCTTATATTCCATTCAGTTTTGTTTTCTTATTAGTCATTGAAAGGTAAATATTGGCTTGATTTAGAATTCTGAATGCCAAGGTTTGTATCTCTAGGGAAATCATGTTGTGAAAGGGGTTTCAGCTTCTAAAGGAGAATTTGGCCCCTTGTCTAATTTGGCCCTCAGGTGACACTCAACACACATGGAAAAGATAGAGATGTGGTTACTTTGTTCATGGTTCATATGCTGTGAACTCCTGCACCCACTCCAGCACTTATCACATTCTAAATGAAGAAGGCCTCCTTGCGTGCATGCTGTGAACTCCTGCACCCACTCCAGCATTTATCACATTCTAAATGAGGAAGGCCTCCTTGAGTGCTGTAGTGCAGTGGTTCCCAACCCTGGGCCTCCAGATGTTCTTGGACTTCAACTCCCAGAAATCCTGGTCAGCAGAGGTGGTGGTGAAGGCTTCTGGGAGTTGTAGTCTGAGGACATCTGGAGGCCCAAGGTTGGGAACTACTGCTGTAGTGGATACGCAGCAATTTCCTGTTCACTTGGTTCCCAAGTCAGGACCAGTGGGTTGGATTACATTATTAAGAGGTATTTATTACAATAATGGTCAATACATGATCGAAAATACTTTGCTATTTGAAGGATGAAGAAAAAATTGCTCAGAAGAAGAGACACTTGGGAGACACCAAGCACTTTTGTCCAGTGGTTCTGAAGGAAAACTTCATCCTTTGCCCGGGACTTACTGAAAACACTGCTAAGTATCGAGAAAAATTCTATTACTTTGCAACCCCAGAATACAGAGATAAATTTTTGGAAACCCCAGAAGAGTACCTGTCTCACAATGAACCATTAAAAGTATGTAATAGATTTTTTTTTAATCATACATCTGGGTTATAATATTAATTTTAAATGTGGTTCTACTATTATTTGATATAATTGTTCATATTTAATAACACCTCTGATTTCCTAAAAGGAGAGGCAATACAAAGAACACCATTCTGTTTTCCCTATGAAACAGCAAAGGATTTTGAAAATCTCAGATACTAAAGTTGTCCAACACAAGATATATCTTGGCTAATTTGTGATTTACAGAACCGGTTTCCATTCAAAATGTCTGGAATAACTGTATAGCGACACATAATTCATTGCTGAAGAGTTAATTGAAAGCTGTGCCTTTATATTTCCATTTTAGAGAATTCCTTAAAATGCATGTCAAGATCACTCCGCACCCAGATTTTCTGGCAGCGGTGGTGGCCCAGGCTTCCTGGATGGCAGCCACTCATGCTTATGCTTTTTTGAGCCTTCCCATTCTTTCTGCTGCCTATGAACATCTCTGGACAGTGACTTCTAGAAGCTACTTGACTTTCAATTTCCCAAAGTCCCAGAATGCTTGGTATCTCCCAGCATTACTCCAGAACTTTGTGGAAATAACTGATTCACTTTGCTGTCCCAGGCAGTACTACCCCTATCCACAGGATGGACATCATTGGGTGTGATCAGACCTGGGGTATCAGTCGCCTTACCAAAATCCAAATGTGAAAGGACACATTGAGTTGATAAGTGTTGAAGCTAGAGTAAGGCTTAGTCTTCAGCCAGGCAAGGACTACGAGAACTAGATTGTGAAGTGCAATTGTTGGAAGGCATTGGAAAGTCCTGTCAACCTAGTAAGAACAAATTCCCAGGCTTCTAGTATTTTAATTATACAAAGCCAATCAGAAGCTTCATACTGCCTGCCAGTCAGGATGAATATTCCTTTTGTGTCCAAAGAGTGCTCTGTAGCCCCAGCTCACAGATTAGGTGACTCATTTGGCTGTATTCCAGTTTCAGGCCATAGATAGGCCCAACAGTGTGTCTTTGAAACTGGGGTGAGCAATCTGTAGCCCTTCAGATATTGTTAAATTCCTGTCAGCCCTATCCATGGCCAGCATGGCTAGTGGTCATTGATGATGAGAGATGTGGTAAGAATGTCACTAGGCTTCAAATAAGAAATCATTCCTCTTATATACTAATAATACTTTGGTTAAATTAATTTATTTATTAGCTCTCATTATTACTAAAGAAAAAGTGTGGGATTGTGTTAAATAAAGGAGAAGCAATTTTTTAAGTTGAAAGTGAGATGTGAATGGAATTCTATTTTGTATTTTTATCAACTCTGTAGGTGATCAAATTCTTTTAAGCAAGACAAAGGTGTGTGCTGTCAACTAATAATATGCATTTGAGTGGTATATATGATTGCCTCCTCGGGAATATTTCATCCTCTTATACAGCAAAGAAACATGTTGTGACCTTATTCAGCAAAGCCCTGGAGTTTTAAAATCCAAACAATTACACTGATATTTTTCTTTTTTCAGGCTCCCCCCATACGGATATGTCTTTTAGGCTCTCATGGAGCAGGTAAAACAGTCTGTGCCCGCTGGTTAGCAGACAAACTAGGTATTTTCCACATTCAGTTTGAAGAACGTCTACAGGAACTGATCATGATCAAAACAGGAAATAGAGTAGGACCAGAAGATGAGGATGAAGATGAGGAAGAATCTTCAATTCAGGAAATGGCAGAATCTGCTCCTACTGTTCATGGCAGTACAACTGAAACGGAATTTGAGAGTGAAGATGATAGTTAGCGAACCCAAGAGGTAATACCAACTTCCTTCATAGTTTCCATAGGGGAGATCAAGAAATTAAGGGCTGGTTGACATAACCAGCTGGTTTCTGTCTACCAGCATTCATCCTCCAGTTTCCAACTCATCTTCAGATCTACCCTGGAAGATTGGGAGACCCTCCAGAGCAGATTCTGGAGCACGAAAAGGGGCTGTAGAAGGAGGAGATTATGGGAAAGTTATGTTGTCTAAATTGGTCTACTTATGTATTAAAATTCAGATATTGATCATGATTGTCTGATTCAAGCCCTGATCTGTATCACTTTAGACCCTAAGTTAAGATCTTTGTGTGTGAAGATACTACCACACACACACAAAAAGCAGCCTCCCATGATGTAGAAAGATAGCATATCAGAAAAAAAGAGTGGTGTTCATCTCTTGTTCCTCTTCTTTGTATCAGTAGTGTGGTCCTTCTGTGTGGGGGTGGAATGAAATGTTCAAAAGTGAACATGTACTGTGTATGTTCCATATAATATGTAGTCTAGGTATAATGTGTTTGAGAACAAAATAAAATCAATACATTCAGCTCTTCTGACCTTACTGAAAGCAGCAGTATATGAGCAAAATTAAGTACTTTGTCAAGGAAAAAATTAAGAGAATGAAATATGTGAGATCCTTTTAATTAAAGTTCTAAACTATGTTGTCATTCTTCATTTTAAAAAACCAGGAGAAACTCAGATTTTTACATGTAGTTTGACTCATTTTAACAGAAAGAAATGCAGCTAACAGATGAGGAAGAAGCAATCAAGGCAAACATAATAGAAAATGAACCCATACCCCCTGAGGTACTTGACAATATTGTTCCTGAATGGTGGATGAAGGAACCATTTCGGTAGGTATCTATTTCTTGCTATTCTATGTAAAGGTGTTAGGACTCATTGGAAATGAATTTTTTATAGATATGTATGACTGTTCAGCCAGTTCCTGAATCCATCTTGATTTATGCCATAAGGAACATATCTCCCCATCTTAGTCTTCATGAGCTATTTTCATAAAGAAATAACCAATAAGCTTCATAATGAAATACAGGTTACCAAAGCTCCTTGCCCAATTATTCTCCTTTCCCTAAATCAACTGCTATTAGAAGATGAAAACCTGTTAGTGTTCAAGAGATAAAATGTGAAGCATTTTTTGTGATTGAGTAATTATATTTGTAAATCAAGCCTCTGTTTATTATCTTTGAAGATCAATTACAGAACAAAGTGAGCTAATTTTCAGGCTACAGGAGATGTGAAAAGCTCCTGCTGTGGGAATTAAACACCAGCATATAAGAAATTTTGGTTCTGATCACAGATTATCTATAGTATATAGTCTGGCCCTCAGTGATGTTTAGAGCCAAAGGCAAAATGGTGGCTCAAGGGGTAGACTCAGATATTGACTATAACTTATATGCTATATATTAAAATGCCCCCACGTATAAATAAGTTACACCTGATGTCCTTCAGAGCTTCAGCAGATGCTTTTCTCACACCATTGCACTGCCTTATTCACTGAATTTTAGGGGCTTCACAAAACATCACCCTTCACTTATAAGCCTCCACTATTTTTCCAACTACTTCTTCCATCTTTTTTCTACCACTGAAAATCCATTATGGAGAAAAAGAGAGAATAATATGCAGTGCTTTTTAATGGCTGTTACAATGAGCCCCCTGTCTGAAAATGCTTTTGTCTGTTCCACAATTCAGAGTCAAACCCTTACTACCGATCATCTGGTAATCTGTCAGTGTTGGTGGACCTATTAGGAGCTTTGGGTTTCCGTTTTTTCAGATCCTGCAACAATAACTGATTCTTTTGAAAAAAGATTGTGAGTTATGTATCCCTGCTTTTGATCTTAAGCCTTTGTCTGAGCTGAGATGTGAAACTATGGTTTCCATCAAAGCCTTGCTCTAAAAAAAATGTAATAGTGCTCACAAGAAATACATTTGTGCTGCTCTATCACAGGGCAGTCTCTTAGGCATAACGTTTAGTGCAGGCTTGTCCAACCTGCGGCCCGAGGGCCGCATGTGGCCCAGGTCGACTCATAATGCGGCCCAGTGCAATTTTTTATTTTAAAAGAAATTCCAAAGCTTCAAGTTACACTGCCGGTGCTTGCGGCTGGGGCACGTCACAACAGTAGGGGGGGAGAGAGGGAGGGAGGGAAGGAAGGAGCGGGAGGGGAGAGGGGGGCTGCGTGACTGCATTGTGCCATCCCCGTCAATAGATGGACCTCCTCCCAGCCCCATAAAGCCACCAGAGACCGAAGCTGACAGCCTCTGCTGTCTGAGATCGCAGCTGCCAGTAAGCGCGCTTGGAGCGGGGCTGCGGAGGATGGCTAGGGCTGCCCCCTCATGTGGCCCAAACCAAATTTATGTGCGGCCCAAACCAAATTTTCATCTTCCAATGTGGCCCAGGGAAGGTGAAAGGTTGGACACCCCTGCTTTAGTGGGACATAAGCCATAATCCAGACCAATAGAAAATAGAGTAAATTGTTGTTAGCTTTTGTCTTCAGTACCAGCATTGAATGAAAAATATCCTTTGCCTCATGTTTGTATTGAAATACTAATATAGAAAAATAATGGATGCAAGGACTGCACCAAATGACACAGCAGACCTTTACCTGAACCTAAGCAGCTTAGCCTGAACCAGCCCAGTTCATTTGAGGTCCTGTAGATAAGCCTTCAGTTACAGTACTTTCAAGGGTGTAGGACGGATCTCTTTTAAAAACATTTTCTTTTTTAACTTAATCAGGGATAACACTCCTTTTGCAGTGTAACTTTAAACTTTGATAGTTGCTTTTTATTTTGGAGGAGTATAGTATCGTGAAATAGTGGATAATATCACATGATAGTGGAATATCACATGGTTCAAATGCTAGCTCAGACTGTACCTCATGCTGCTGTTTTGTCCTCTGTTGTTGGTGTTCAGGCAAAAGTGAAGTGAGTGAGTGTATACTAACTGATACCTTGCAGCACTGAGATGGGTTTCTAAAAGCTGCTCAAAAATAATGAGTTACTTTTGAGAATCAGAAGTTACTTTTAAATTTATTTTAAAGTTACTTCTAAAATTATAATAGTAACTAATATTGGACCCAGTGCTGCAACTGTAACTAATTACTATTAAAAAGGAACTTTCCAGTACATTTTTAATATTTCATTTTTCTATATGCTGTTCTCATTTAGATCGACAGGGTTTGTCCTGGATGGTTTCCCCCGAACTGGGGATGAGGCTCAATATTTAGGAGAACATTTGCTTTGTCCTGATGCTGCAGTCTTTCTTGAAGTTGATGAAGATGATGTTGTTGACCGGATTCTCCCCATGCGGGTGCAAAAATGGCGTGAGAAACAAGCTAAGAAAATGGAAAAGAAAAAGCTGATGAAAGAACTAAAGGAGAAGATCAGAGTAATATTTTTTTTTAAAGCTAGGCATGTATAATTGGGGTGGGGGACAGGGAGAGATAATGACCCTGCTGGTAGGATTATGATCTAAAAATGTTAGAAATTTTGATCCAAGTCCAGTTGCTGGTATAGAGTTTTTTAAAACATTATTTAAGAAAATTATATGTTTGTTCAGAAAATTATAGGAGAGCACTAAGTGATATAAAGATAAAATCTACAGCAGATGACTGTCAAAAACTACTTTCACTTATGGAGCCCAGATCAGAGAAACAGGCATGGCTGAGGATATTCATGCCGTGCGAACTAAGGGTCAAACTGGATAAGACAGTTAGCACCTTATAACAAGTGTACTTCCTGAAGTGTTGGAAGAGATCTTCATGTCATCACACATGCTTTCACTCAGCTCCCTATCTTGTACTGCAGCAAACGACATTTGGGGATTGCTCACTGGAAGGTACACACAGTCTCAATGTGCAGGTTTTACTGCCCTGGCAAAGAGCTGGTGATCCTTTTCCACTGCAGTTTCAGTACTGCCACAACTGAGGCCTAACTCTGCCCTGTCGTTTAAAAACAATAAGAACACTTCTGATGAAACACATATACATAGCCTTTATTATTACATACTACATAGACTATATGCCCCAAGGTATGGGTGGTATCTTGCAATAGAATTTAAACACTGGGAGCTCATTGTATCTCTAGCCCTATAGCTATATATATGAATAGATATAAATATAGATGGATATTTGCTTTTATACACTTCCAACAAGAATACAATGCACTTTTATACAGGTTTCAACAAGAATGCACCCTTCTGCATAGCTCTTAACAAACTACCTCAAAACTCTTATTTTTTTCCCTAACAAATTCTAATCTCTCGGAGAGAGACAGAGAGATAAAAACAACATCTCTACAACAGTGTACCAGCTAATCAACACACAGTTCCAATCACATACATTCCACCCCACAACCTGTTTCAACAGACTCCTCTGGCATACATCTAACTTGCAGCTACTACTCAAAACCTATGTATGCCAATATATACTTATATACAAAATATATATACAGTAATTTGGAATCACTAAAGTATCTGTTTTCAAAAATAAATTAACTTCAGATCTTTTACTGACAGGGTGACCTAATTGCCAGAAGAAGAGCAGAACTTATTGCTGAACAACTAAAAAGGAAGGTAAAACCCATTGCGGTTTTGAATTTCTGGTAAAATTCTCCTTTTCTTGTACAGTAGAAGAAACCCACAAAGACCCACAGAGGAGAAGAATGACAAGAGTTCCCTAGAGTCCACCCATTTCTCATTAACAGGCACTTTAAGTATGAATAACTTTAAATCAGTTGTAGGAGAAAGAATAAAAAATGCTTCTGTATGTACAGTTGCCTCAAATTACAGACTTGTGTGCGCTACTTTCTGTACTGCACATATATTAGCAATCAACCAAACAGATCAACAGCAAACACTGCCACCAACCAACAAAAGAAAGTGATAGAACACTCAGCAGAGAGGTGGGACTCTTTAAATTCAAAATGTGGAAGGAATTGTTGTGGACCATAATTTACATTTTCAAAAGTACAGTAAGCAGCTAAAATAATAAATAAGCATAGAAGTCTGGTTTTTTGTACACATTTTTCTTCAAAATAAGAGATAATTAATTCTTTCCCTTAAAACCAATGAATGGATTAGCTCCAGACTTGAGAGACTGGAAACGGAGAGCCTTCAGCAGATTCCCTTCCTTCCCAAGGCGGCCTTTTCAGCCCCCTGGAAATGCCAGACAGGGAATCTGCTGGATCGAATGGACTGTGATGTGGAGGGGTGAGGAAGGAGAAACGATAATGGAAATGAAACTGAGGTACAGTACTGTCTGTGAGCAGCTTCTGCATCTTATTAGGTGTCTCCTCTTTCCTCACAGCTCCCGTCATAAACTGCCCCAGGAAGCAGGTTCCCCTAACTCTCTGTGTAGCCTTTTCAGAACATTGGAAAGGCTTCTGTGGAGAGGAAGTACGGAACTTGCATTTGCACCAGCCCCATTGCACATCTGCATCTCAATTTCATCCAACGAGAATTAAGTTTGGTTGTTGGTTCTGTGTGTGTTTCCCACTGCAGGATTTCTGCAAATCATCAATATGAAAATATTGGCTGAAATCCTATTATCTGACTTTCTATGCTCAGCCACAGGATTTCAGCCACTGAATCAAAAACTGGTACACATTACTGATCTTTTCGGGAACTATGCTTTAGTTAAATATTTTATTTTGTAGTCTGATACGTCTAGATTTGAAGATCTAGATGAAGAGGATGATGAAGATGAAGATATTGAAGCTCTTCTAGAAGAAGAGTTTCCCAGGGAAGATGATGATGCTGAAGATGAGGAAGAGGAACAGGAGAGTGATGCTATTGACCGCATGAAAACTGAAATTTCAGAGAAATATGAGACAGATATTGCTAGCATACAAAATGTACAGGTATTTTCAATGTTGTTTACTTCTTTTGCCTTAACTCAAGCCTAAAGGAGATTTTTTTTTTAAAAAAAAAGGTTTCTGTAACTTCAGGCTAAATAAGCATTGAAATCCATTTCTAGGAGTACTTCCTCAAATAACAAAATACTATAATTGATCATCTCTGGAATGCAGTCAGTAACTATTTGCATAATGCTCTACAGTAATGCTTCACAGAGCAGAGTCTGTTGCTGGTGACAAAACAGCAGGAAAAACACATTTCTTTCAAAGTATGTTCTGGCCCTTGGTTTTTTTTAAAAAAGTGGGCTTTTTCCACTGTAACTTGTTTCTTTTAATATCTTCAGTATTGTATCCATTTTGACATATCCAGAAAAACAGACTTCCAGGTTATGATGGGTAAGAGTAAAGTTCTTTTGCACTTAAACTACCTGTAAACATGATAATGCCAAGGAACGATAAACAATACTAGACCTCTTATCAAAAAAACTGAACAAAGTCCTTGTGTGTAAATTTCTGCTGGAAGAAGCTGGAGGATTTTTTAATTCAGTGATGTCGATATTTAATTTAAATAAATGTTGCTCATCTTCTCTCCCCTTTCAGCATCAGATGCTCCTTTTGCCTTGGGGAAAACCCTTGGGAGCCTTGGGATGGGGGCGAAGGGATAGTCAAAAATTGCTGCCAGATTGTCAGTGGTGGTCCCAATCCCAGCAGCAGCAATTTTTTTTACTGTCAAAGGCTTCCCCCTCCCATCTCGAGGCTCCCAAAGGCTTCTCCAGGGCACAAGGGAGCCTCAAAACCTGAAAGAGGGGCAAAATAGAAAGATTTCAATTAATTTGAATAACATTTTATTGGCCAGAATGATTATGTCATCCAGTTCCTGCAATATAAATTTACACTAATAGGGTTTGGGGCACTACCTCATAATTTATTGTCCGTTTAAAAGGGCAAACAGTGCCATGATTATTAGATTATATCCAAGCAGAAACATCTTTATTGTTCACATTAATATACTGATCATGAAGGTATTTAAGTTTCATTGGTTTCAGAGAGATATATAATTCATGTTTAGGAATCAACTTTAGCTAAAAGTACAAATTAAGATTGATTCACTACATTTCAGCTTCCCATGTGGCACAAAAGTTTTGAATAGCCACTCTACCTATGACTATACAAGTCTCCCTTTTCTGGGAACAGTAATATAAAATCTATGAAAGTAATAGGAAGCCTTCCTTATGAATCTTAAGGGTGTAGGGCTTAAACCTACTAATGACATCATTTTTCTTCTGGCAGTTGTGAGGTATTCGGAAAAGTGAATTTTTACCAGCATAAAAGTTAGGTTTTTCCACAAACAAGCGTAGTCTAAAAGTTAATCAGAACATATTACTTCACAACAAAAGGGTACAGTGGGTTGGGCAAAAAGGTCCATTTGGCAAGGAATAATGTGACATTATTCCATAGTAACTGTATGCAGTGACACATTTCCTCTATACAGTCTTCAAAGCTAGTAGCTGTGGATGATTGCTTTATGCTCTTGTCATAGGGCTCCCCAGGTACATGAAGCCCCTGTCTTACTCTGGTATAGCTACTCCTCATCTTTGTCCTTCTGCTTGGATTATGGTTCTCTCTGGAATACCTTCTATGTTGCCACCACCGGAATTTCAGTGTACTCCCCTCTCTACACAATACGTTGTGTTACAGAGAATTACAGATGAAAGCTCAAGTATAAGAAGCTGGCAATGCCGTCCAGAGAAACAGGGCAAAATGTGTTGTCTGTATAGCTGTTACGGTTGTCCAGCTCTTTGACTTGCACTTACCTGACTTCAGCTTTCTGCAAAAGCCCCCAATAAATCTGTTGCCTGTGTGGATGTCAAAGAATATCTGTCTTCCTTCTAGCCTTGTTCTGCAAAGTTGCCCTCAATTTTTTCGATCATTGCAGGAGCTACCAATAAAGTTTAATAAATCCGGCTACCACAATAAAAATTATAAAATCAGTTTTTAAGAACAGTGTAAGACAAATGTTTTAATGCAGTTCTTTTGAAATGATCATACTTGAAATTAGTTATAATATCAGGCTTGAGTAGCCAGTCCTCTGTCAGTTCTTCATTACACTTTCCAGCAGAAATTCTGTTGAGAGAGGTCCATACAACAGCTTTATTGTTTGCTGCTTGTCAGGCAAGTAGTTCTTCAGACCTACACCCTGGGCTGCTATAGATGTGAATGGACTGCTAAAATCTTCTCTCTGTTTGTATATGCTGTATGTTGTTGTTCAGTCATTAAGTCGTGTCCGACTCTTCATGACCCCCATAGACCAGAGCACGCCAGGCCCTCCTGTTTTCCACTGCCTCCCAGAGTTGGATCAAATTCATGTTGGTCTGTGTATTTTTTAAAAATTTATTCTATTTATACCCCGCCTATCTGGTTATTTCAACCACTCTAGGCGGTATATATACCTTACTGTATTTGCAAAGACATTCTTTCATTTTGAGAGGCTGGGCCAGATTCCACACCATGAAAACAATGATCTTGATCATGTGATCCTAATTTTTGTTTGGTGTTGGGGAGACCTAAACCATTGTGGACATCTGATTCACACCAAATAGCAGGAACTCTCAAAGTAAGTGATCAGCATTCCAGAGTATAGCAGCTCTTGAGCATTTTATTGATGTCTGTCCTGTTCTCTTCTGTTTTTAGGAGGAACTTGAAAAACTACTGATACCTCAAATAATTATTAGCTCCAAGAGGAAACCTCACATTGTTTGCTACCAGTTGTATAAAAAGCTGAAGGACTTGGTAGAGAACCGTGAAAGCATTTTTGAGAAATGTTATCCATTAAGATTTCCCCTTGCACGCAAAATGATAGGCCTTTCCTACAAACACCCAAGTAATTTTGGTCAGTGGGACCCTGTTAGGGTAAGTGTCTAATTCCTTGTCTAAAAGTATTTCTTAACATCAATAATATGAATTCTTGTATTGATTATTATACACAACAGCAGTGTGCTATGGCTTCTAGAAATTACTCATTATTTGAAATTAATCCTGTATGGTGAATGTTATTTGTATTTGATAAATGATTATTACTAAGACAAAGTTAGTACATGGATAAAATTTGGAGGGGTAGAGAGGTAGAGCATTCTTCTACTTCCCTGCTCCCTCCTTACCAGAAGTTGGTAACAAACGCAGTGATCATGAGGATGGTATTTTCAGATTGTAAGGATTTCTATCCTAGAATTCACCTAGAATACCCTGGCAGAATTCTGGGCCTTGAAGAGGAGAAACCATAAGGAAAAGAAGTATCTTTTAACCTCCATATTGTGCTTCTCTCGACATGTATCAGCTGGGAAGCAAAAGAGAATGCCCCCTCAGCCACACAGAGCTTCCTGGGAAGGTCCCGAGTGGCCCATCAGCAGGGTACTCTCACTACCCACCAGGCTTTTCTTATCAGGGGAGCCTCTCACCGACCTATCCTACTCATGGACCAGTGGGTTGATTCCTAGGGAGGAGAGCAACTGAGGGGTATTAAAACATAGGAAAAAATAAGCTCGCATCTGTTTACAGCTAACCCACAGCATCTACACTTTTTACGGTTTATTACAATCATATTTATTGTAACATAATATTTTAGAAAATCGGTGTTCTGGGCAGTCTACAACAAAGAAAGAAACATAAATTATGAAACTGCTCTAAAACAAACCTATCACGAAATAATGTAGTATCCACCATAGTTGTGTTCTTCCTGGATTATTGCAACATACTCAGCACAGGGTTGCCATTGAAGAATATTCAGAAAGGTCAGCTGTAGCTAGACTGTTGATGGGTGCCTGTTACAGGGAAGATATTATTCCACGGTTACAGCATCTTCACTTGCTGCCACTCTGTTTCTGAATCCAACTCAAAATGCTGATTATGACTTTAAAGGCCCTATACAACTTGTATTTCTCAATATTAGCATCCTCTGCCTCAAAGAATTTCAGGGACTCCCTTTTTTGATCCTTGGACTCTCAAAAGAGCAAGACTAGGCAGTTTCAGTGGCTTCTTCCAGGTTGTGGAGTGCCCTTCTTTGGGAAGTCTGGATCGCTCCCTCTGTGCTGGTTCTTCTGTCAGCAGGCAAAGATCTTTCATTTTAGACAGACTTTTAGCCAGTGAATAAGATTAACAAGTTTTGCTGCAGGATTCTGTACATTTTTGCTGTTTTCTATGTATATGTGTGATCAAAATGTTTCTAAACTGCTTTTCATGTTTATATTTCATTGCTTGTAATGTTATAACTTGCCCAATGTTAGTGGTACCACCATTAGTGATTTGCAGTCTTCCTTGGTTTGTGCACCAGGGGAAATGAAGTGACATTAAATAATTTCATAATAGTGGACGTTATATTCTGCCTTGCTATATTTGTTCGAGAATAATTTGTTTTATCAGAAGTGTTTTAATTAAAACATGGAGAACCTTTGCATAATATTTACAGCAGATTATTTGCTATGTAGATATGGGTTTAGTGTAGGAAAATGGTTGCAATAGTAGTTCAGGACATCAGGAACTCTGTATTTATTGCAGCTAAGTGAAGGAGATGCTATCAAGCCATATCAACACCAAGATACTCCGAGTTATCCTGTTCTCCATCGAAACTGTATTTATTTCTTTACAAGCAAAGAAAATAGAGAAACATTTATGAAAAATCCCATCAAATATCTCCGCCAACCTAAGCCTAAACCCACTGTGCCAGTGAAGATTGCAATTGTGGGACCTCCAAAATCTGGAAAGACAACAGGTAAGATTCTGTGTCTTTTGAGTGTGTGTATCAGAAATAGAAGATATGCATTTGTTCTGCCTCTGGAACCAAATGGCAGATAAGCACAATGCCAGCAAGGGAAAGGAGGCCAGATAATCTAAGGTGTTTTCACTGTAACTCATTACTTCTGTGGAGTACATTGAGAATATATTTTTCCGAAACTGCATCCAAGGGTACTGAAGGAACTAGCTGAAGAACTCTCAGAAACACTATCCATTATTTTCTTGAAATCATGAAAAATGGGGGAGGTGCCAGAGGATTGGAGGAGGGTCAATGTTGTCCCTATCTTCAAAAAGGGCAAAAAAAGAGGAACCTGGGAATTAATTACAGGCCAGTTAGCCTGACATCAATCCCAGGCAAAATTCTGGAACAGATCATAAAGTGGTCATTGTGCCAGCACCTAGAAAACAATGCAGTACAGTGGTGCCTTGACTTACAAACTTAATCCATATTGGAACAGTGGCCGTAAGTCAAAACGTTCGTAATTCAAAGCACCGTTTCTCATAAGAATGCACTGAAAACCAATTAATCAATTCCAGCTGTTTTTTGTCCTTACGTTAAGGCACGGTTCATAAATCAAAGCATTAGTTCCCATAGGAACTAATGCAAAACC